GAGGGCTTCCCAGCCTCTCTCAAGCATCTGCTAGTCCAGAGAGGCATCTTTCCAATGTGCTGGTGTCCTCTGCACAAATAACCTGGGCGATGCCTTCTCTGACTCCTCCTCTATGCATTAGATAAATGATTCGTTGCATTACATTTCCCGGGCTCTCCAAGCGAGAGAGCCCGAGTCTTGCCTGGCGAAGCGAGTTAGCGCTTTGGTCCGAGGATGCCCAGGGGAGAGCGGGGTGGCACTGGGCACCTGAGCATTGTGCCAGGCTTTGAAGAGGGAACCCTCCCTGCCCCTTGCAGCAAAAGCCCCACTGAATTTAATAGGAGATTTTCTATAGGGCTTTTACATGTCGGGGACCATCCTACAGACTTTCACAGAGACGCCCACCGGACGCTGTAACACCCGTGCAGGCGCTACATAAAACCTCAGTTTGTCTGGGGATTTCTATAGTCCTCTGCCCATCCCTGCCCTGAATTTCTAGATCAGAGCACTGGGCAACCTAGGCAAGTGAGTGGGCCCGGGAATGGCCCTTCTTCATCTCAGTGGGCCACAAGATTGTGGTGAGCAAGACGCTCTCCTGGGACAGGGCAGTTTTGTGAATGGCCAGGCCCACTGACAGGAGGGGCTAAGAAGGCCATTGCCCCTAGCCTGGCAATTCAAAGTGTCACAAACTGGAGGGTTTGGCTTTTCCATGGGCAGCCGGCAGGGGAGCATGTGTGTGAGTAGGAAGGAGAGGAGAAAGCAGGTGAGCTCCCTGGAACCCTGAAGGCTTGTAACAAGTCAAATACAGATTGGGCCTCCCTGGTCCGGCACCCTTGGGACCTGAGCTGTCCTGAACTAGGGAGTTTGCCGGATCAGGGGAGGTCAGGCCTGGGGCTTTCCTAGAAATCACCTTTCAACCGTGCCTCTGGCTAGCTGGCTGGGCTCCAGTCTGGGTCCACAGTCCTGCTCCGGCCAAGGGCTCCCTTCTCCCAGCAGCCGGCTTCCTGCGGCCGGCGCAGATCAGCTCCCTGCTGGCAACCTCTGTGGCTGGGGCTCTGTCCAGGGCAGCGAAACATTCCAAAAGTGAAGCCAGCACCCCGGACTGGAGGAGGGAAGCTGGAAGTCTCTTGGGGTGGGGCAGTGTGGTGGTGGGC